GAAGCCGTATTGGCCCTTCTCATTATGATATTCGTAATCAGCACCCTCGATTACCTATTGTCCACAGAGTTTCAGCTCGAAAGCCATTTTCAAGGTAGGGGCCTTTCCTCATAAGGCTAAAATCTTGATGGATGCAACTGCATTTCAAGCGCAAAGAGCTGCCTATTTTCGTAAGCTTGACGAGTTACGTGCTGCTCATTATATTCTCTATTACCATGATGAAACATGGTTGAAGAAATATGAAGAAAAAACGTTCATTTGGTTTGACGATGAAGGTTACGGTAGATTGGGCAATACAGAAGGAAAAGGTAACATACAACTTTTACCTATAAAATTCTTCGAAATAGAAGAGTTTTATCTGACTTTCATAGGTCAACGTCTTGCTCTCAACGGACTGCTAAGTCTCAATGGATTTCATCTGTATTCTCTTGACATCTTCAAATGTGACGAAGTTCATTCGATGGACAGTTCCCATTTCGTTCAATGGATAGACTCCACCTGCGGTACTCTTCGAGCTGAACATGGAAAACATGCCAAGTTGGCACTTTTAATAGACGGTGCCACTTGGCACAAAAAGCTAACGACAGAATCTGAACCGCCAAAAGAAGCTTGGCGTAAAGCTTTGGTTGCTGAGTAGTTGGAAACGAGAAAAGTGGAATTTGAGCCTTATTTAACTAAAGCAGAGCTTCTGGAACTGGCGTTTGAACATTTACCACCAAAGAGATATATTGTTGATGAAACGGCTGTGAAACACAATGTTGTGATCGTGAGAATTCTGATCAAACATTGTGTTCTCAATCCCATTGAGTTGGCATGGGAGGGTTAAAGAACTTTGTTCGTCAACAGAACGTTCGTTTCAGTTTGAGCGATATTGCTAACTGTGTAATGAATGGTTGTCGGCTTTAGGACCTGAGCACGCAGAGGCTTATTTCAAGCATGTTAAAAAACATGAACAAGCTTTTCAAACTGCTGATAAGTTGGTGGAAGAAATGGAAACCGACCTGGTAGACGACGACGATGAAGGTGCTAAAGAGTCAGGTGAAGAGAATGAAGAAGAATGATTTTCAACTCAAATCGAATATTTTTTTTTCCTGATTTTGTTGTATGTATGATGAAAGAATGCATGGTATTAATGAAAGCATGTATTTGTAGCGACAAAATCACATTTAAACCGGCTAACTCCAAGTTAGTGTGTAAAGTCTTATTCCTAACTAAAAATAAACATGGCCACAATGATCAGCATAGTCGAAAACCGGTAGTAGTACATGTGTTGTGGAAAAACTGGAGAAAAGCATTTTTCACTTTTCCTGAGGGTTACCCCAAGTCGAAAAAATCAAGTATTGAATTTCAAAAACTACATAGGCCATTTTGTTCAACATCCTGAGCAACCTAGAAATCGATGGTTTGTAATGAAAAATATTAAGGACCTAAAAATGACCTTATCCGCCCCTATCCTTTCTTATTTCGGGAGCTAAACAACACTAAAAAAGTGAGTGCGTTATTGCAATGTTTTGATAAAAACTTGTTATAGAAACAAGATCGAAAAAAGTTTTATCGTTTCGTAAAGCCCGTTATCTTAGCTATAAACTCATACAAAAAAGTGACACACATCTACAAATGAAGTGGACCAAGTAAACTAAATGTTTGAACATTTCGTCGTTTTTCCATTCCCTTAAACAGAATTTTAATCTGATTTTCTATAAAAATAAATTCTAAGTCGTGCTAAATAAAAGTTTAAGAGCCATTGTCTGATAAGTTCAGACAGATGGTTGTACTGACATCAACTGATTTGGCTGAAATTTTTACCATATTATCTGAGCATCTAGCCTAGACTACGGTAAAAGTTTCAGTTCTAGAAAGCCTGTCATTTCGGAGTTATAACCATTGCAAGTAGCGCCACTGTATAACCAGAAAAACCTGAGTTTTTGCGTAAAATGTGATTTTCTGAGAAAAGACAAGTCATAGAGAGCTGAAACTTTCATCAAATATTTCCCGTATGGTAGTCTATCTAAAAAAATTCAGGCTTCAAAAATTTCAGGCTCGAGAAATCCTTTCTTCAGCTTTGGAGAAAGTTTCCGTGTTTCCAAAGATCCGTCAATTTCTCAGAGTTCTGAAGACTTTGAAAACTGAAAGCTAGTGGATCTAGACCAGTTTCAACCCTGATTTATAATCAAAAGTTTCGCTAAAAATTATGGCGTGCCTTTTCGGAAACTCTTGGTTTTCCGGAAAACTCGAAGTTAATAAAACTCGATTTTGAATCGGCAGAAAAATAGAGTATTGAAAGATCTACAGAATGAGACCTTTTCTAGCTTTCTAGGATATTTCTGGGTCGAGATACAGCTATTACAAAAATACAGGATTTTGGTCTCATGTTATCCTCAAAAAAGAGCCATCTAAAACGCCAGTAAGAAACTGGGTTAAACGTCACAGTGATCCTTCGAGAGTTCCTAAAAAGACGGCTTCTTTCTTTTCCTACTTGTATCTAAAGAATTCATTTCTTGCAGATGAGACTCATCATTAGGACAGCGAGTAGATCAGAAGGACTTGATGCACAAGCCTGAAGTTTTTACTGCAAGTAGTATAAACATAATGCTGGGCCTTATTTTTTGGTTGTCGAAAATATTGTTTTGCTCTCATCAGATAGGTTTTTCAAAAACCATTACTTAATAAAAAGTGGGTCCTTCGTATACTAATTCGTACTTTAAATGTTCGCAACACTGCCATGAACGCGATCTGTTCACTATGGTAATCTCTATAAAAAAAACAAGCTATAAGATGAAAGAGTACGGCCAGCTGAACTGTTCTACAGCTCATTGAGATCCATCAAGATGCTACGATAAGCTGTTCCTAAATATATGAAAAAAGCGGAGGGGTGTATAAATTCGCTGCTTTTGATGTTCCTAGAGCTCAGATTTGACCGACAGATAGGTCCTGAGATATTACCCGTTGCGTTCGAACCATGGTGGATGAAAGTGTGTGACTTGCGCCAAGTTGTAGAATGACATCTACTCTATATTCATATATATTTCAATATCTCGCTATGTGAATTTTTGGAATGACAGGTTCAAACTTTTTGCTTCGAAAGGTACGCCATAGTAGACCTGTCGAAGAAGTCAAAGGATTGTGTCGTCGTTTATAACCACAAAACCGCAGCGATTAGCTCATTTCTTTTGATCGATCAGTAAATTACTGTCTGGACAACTACTTAATGAATCAACCTATAATACTGCAGGACAACTGGTGGCAGCTCAACGTCCTCATCGCTATCCCTTTTATACGTTGATCAGTAGAAATGTTCTTTTTACAGAAGGTTTTTTGACTTACTAAAGCATTATGTTTTAAATAAAGATTCTTCCACACCATTTTCCCTACAAAATGATATTGACACTTTTAAAAGCAAAATGAATTGGTTAGCAGTAATAAAATTACTTGGTTTAGAATAAGACTGATGAATTTCCAGTTCGCTTCCATCGAAATTTTCGAAATAATAGTTCAAGTAAGAGCAAAATTGCTGCTCGATCAGCTCATCGAACGCCATGATTTACTATTCTAAAATTTAAACTTATAACGACAAGAAAATAGTACAGAAAATTGTCTTATGTTGTACAGCTCAGTCTCACCTTAGTTTTGTGGATGATTACATTGTGTTGTGCCAACAAACGGCAGTATGGTCCCAAGTATATTTTTTAATCTTACGCTTCTATATTTATTTGAGAAGAAATTTTCTGCTGTTAGATACAGAATGACAAAAAAAAACGTTTTTTTTGTTGTGTTTACATACAAACACATGGCATATTTCTATGCGACTATATTAGTTCTGTTATTTCAAAGTACAGGACGGAAAAAGCAAGAGTTGTCACACTTTTATATCTTAAAATATTAAAAAAGTAAGAATGTATTCTCTATAAATTATCATTGCGAATAGAAAAAGAATGTTTTGTTAAGCGTAATAAAGGAAAGAGGCGGATAAGGCCATTTTTTCGGCCCAAAATCTTTTTCGATCAAAACCATCGGATTATGGGTTATTCCACCTGGTGAACAAAATGGAGCGTTGAGTTTTCAGAAATTCTAACTATGGAATTTCCGAGCTTGAGATTTTTTACATGTTTTTCTAGATTTTTCTAAAGAGAAATGTTACAGATGCAGGTTTTTACGCTGACTCCGACTATCCCCTTGGTTTTTGGAAAACTCGCTGTTTGCATGGTGAAAGTAGATTTTACTGTTAGAGAAGTTTTGATCGTAACAATTAAACAAAACGTTGCCAGCACGACAGAAACGAGTTCTTAAGCATTTAAAACCAGTAGCTATACTCAGACTTGACTCGGCTATCCAATGGCGTATGTAGCGTTATCCATAGATCTATTTATGTCACCGGAAAAGCTTAGAAAAAGATGAAAATGGGAACTCATGCATTAGCTATGCTGATTCCTTTGTTATACTTGAAACGAAAAGAGGTTACAATGCGAACTTTTTCACACACAGGCCATTTTTATGCTTCATCAAGTGGCATCAGTCTCAAAGAAGCAGTAAGGAGCTTGTTAAGTAGTAAGACGTGAACGGAATGGCGACTCATTCACAGCAAGAAAACAGAAAAGATCGAAATTCCATAATAAAAACAACAGTAATTCACAAAAGTGCGATCCTAGTAAAAAGAAAAATACAATAATCGTCCACAGCAATACAATGGGAGATTAAATCAACCCAGTTCACCGAAACCTCATCAGGTATTCGTTAATTCAAATATTAACCGGGGTCAACAGCCAGCATGTGATACTTGCACGATATTTGCCGTGAAAATATAGCTTATTTAGATGAAGATTATGATTTTGTTATCGAGTCTTATAAAGATCTGCTTACAAAAGAATGTCACAATTAAATATGCAGTGACGAAGATCGTTGCGGATACATTGCACATCTGTACGAACGGAAAAGTGATTTTCTCCGAGCTTTAAAATGCTATATAAATGGAATTCTCTATTTTGAACAGCACAAAGATCGTGCAGAATGCTGTCACACCGTTTACTATTATCAAAAATTAGCAGAATTCTATCAACACTGCACTAGAGAGTGTAGTTTAGCAATAGATGTTTATGAAAAACTCACTGGTTTACTTCTAAAACGTCGATAACAACTCATACAAAATGTTTTCTTAATCGTTGAACATTTAATCGATTTTTTCAAAGTATAAAATGACCTAAGCACAGTTATTTTGATTTACGAAACGTTTGTAGATTCAGTCTTGAAGCGTTGTAGTTTATTCGATTTGACTACAATCTACAAGTACTTTCATAAGATAAATCATTTGTTGAGGACTGAGCAGAGTGGCAAGAACAATCTTATCAGTCTGAATGCCTACGAACTTTTTTTAGATCGGATTGTCATCAAATACTCTTCCCAATTATTCTCAGTTTACGCTCCAACAATCATTCTCCACTTCAAACAATTTAGTTGTCTATTCCGTCAACTTAGCGACCTTCTATCTGCTATTGAAATTTATCAAGCTCTTATTATACTCCTACCGACTCATGCAAATTCAACAATGAAAAGCACTGACGAGTATAAAATGATCGCGGGCAAATTTCTGGTCAAAGGATTTTTGAAAGAATCGGTTGAAGTCTATCAACATGTATTTGATTTCGTCTGTCGACATCACAATGATGGAGTACATCTAGAAACTGATTTACTTGATTTTGCAGTCATATTCTATCGAGATAAGATTATATTAGAATATGAACGACAAGGAAAGTATGATGAAATTATTGTATTGCGTCATAGAATTATCAAAAATATCCAGAAATATGAGTCAGTTAATGTGGATTTCGATCGAGAAACGTACTATAAATATGTGCTTACGAATTATAAGTGTATTGCTACAATTAGTCTGACAGTCAAGAATGATGTAGATGGTACATTAGCAGTGTTTCAACAGATCGTTGATCTCGTTAACTTGAGTTTGAATCTGAGTTTTAATCTGAGTTTGAAGGTCATCTTTGTGAAAAATTTATCGATTTTCTGCAAAAGAATCTTTTGAATTACTTATCACACTTGATAGTTGCCTATC